GAAGACAGATGGCATAACAGTTGTAATCGAGGTCGCAAAATGTTGTTTCTAAATTAGAGAGGGAACGGTAGTGGCGAGCCAGAAGGAGAAAGCTGTTGAGACAGTAGCGGCACTRGATAGAAGAAGACGACATATAGTGAAAGATGATACACGCGTGAAGGGAGAGGAGAKAAAAATAGGTTTCTATAATTTGTGCATTTATGTTTAGAAATACAAAATCCTTGTAGTCGGGCTCTGTTATTAGCTGAAGTTTATGGTTGAGCTACATATGATAATATTGGGTCGGTATAGGTAAAAATAGGTGAGAACTATAGTAGGTAATTATTAGGTAACTTTCTCACTTCTAATTTAAAAATAAAGTCCAATAAATAATGTATTGTATTATATAAAACAATTATTAATTTCATTAACATGTTTAAATTCAGTTTCAATTTTGTTGAATAATTAATTATCCTTTATTTTTAAATTATAATTACAAAAAAAATCGTAAGTAAATAATATATTGTGATATTTTTTGACGATAAATGAATAATTGTAATTAATCTCGATAAAATATTTTTATAAAAAATCATGATAAAATATAATACGTAGTTCAGCATTCATGCAACATCGCATGTGTTGATTTAAATTCCAATAAAAAAATATTCATATGAAAAAAAAAGAATTATCTAAAATATTCACATAAATAAATAATTAGGAATCGTAAAAGGTATCATAAATAAATGAACAGAAAATATGTTTAAATCAATATTTTGTATTAATTAAAATTAATATAATATAATACGAATACCTAAAATATTCATATAATAATAATAAAATGCTAAAACCAACGTCTTCAATTTTATAAAATTAGGTTACGTTATAATTTATCACTTTTTTTAATTAATTTTTTTGTACTTAAAAATAAAACTTTTGAGTTCCACGTGCATCGCACGTGTTTCTTACTAGTAGATACAAATGGTTCAATAGAAAGTTCGTGAGATTCTTGAAATACATCGTTTTGAATATTTTAAAATTAGTTTTTTTTTTCAACCTCGCATATCAGCATTAAACCTAATTGAAAACTAAGGCTAGGAACTAAAATAAATAATTTTTTTTAGTTTTACAGACAAAACTGACAGGTTTTGAAACTTTGATCGTTTTATTCATTTTATTTAGATTAGACTATATTATATACCTAAAAATATAATCACATATAGGCGTATAGATGTATAGAGGTTTTTGTGATGATAGCATATATGGCCTAATTAATAGTATATTTGACACATGATAAAATATTTTTCAAAAATGGTACAAATGTAATAACTTGTATATCAAAAATATACTTTATCAATTGTACAAAAATAGTTGGTATATAAGTAATATATTTTATCATATAAATGATATATCAATTATATAAGGTTTGGACTTAGTTTCTGTTTATTCAGTGAGTCTTAGAAATCGTCATTTTTTGTTATTAAGATTTAAATTTAGTTTCGATTTGATTCTTGAAGTTTCAAAAGTAATGTGTTCAGTCCCTAAAATTTGAATTTAGTTTTTAATTGGTCTATGAATTAAATTGATCGTTAGTCAATTTAATAGAATGATAATACTGCAGTTAACATATGTTAAATAGACTTTTTGTGATATGAATTTTGTAAAGGAGTGAACAAATTTTATTATTATTTATTATCTTTGGCTTAAATGGTCAATTTCATCTCCTCCTCTTCATCCCTTCTCTTATTATTCCTTTTCCTCCACTCTTTCCATAACACCACGGCCCTTTCCTTTCTTTCATCTCTACTTTAACATTCAAATTGACTAGGTTTAATTTTAATTTACTATTTGAATTAGCAAGTTTTGCAGTAACCAATCAAATTCATTGACGTTGGAGTAATTTAAAGATATCTCTCATTGTCTAGTCAACATATGTTAACCACCACATCATCATTCTGTTAGATTAACTAACTGTCCATTCAATTCAAGGACTAATTAGAAACCAAACTTAAGCCTTATGAATCAATTAAAAATTAAAATCAAATTTCAATGACGACCAAACATGTCACTTTTGAAACTTAATGACCAAATTAATAGAAACTAAATTTAAATCTCAATGACCAGAAGTGCCCGTTTTAAAAACTCATATACCAAGTATAAACCTCAAAGATTAAAGGCTTGTTTGGGAATGATTTTAGAATTATTGATTTTAGCCAAAGAGATGGTTTTGTAAAGTGATTTTTATATAATTATTTTAATGTTAGATTACACAGTTTTTCAAGTAAATTTCAAATTATTAATATTTGAAATTTTAAAGAGAGAATTTGACAAAAAGTGTGGAGGGAGAAAAGTTAGAGACCAACAAAAATATTAGAAATAGAAATTTTAGAAGGCGAGAGACTAAATTTTAGTGGAAACTAAAATTTCAGAAAGATAATAGATTATAAAAATTTTAGAGAAAAAGTAGAAAAAATAAACAAAATTAAAATTAAATAAAGTCAGAGGGTGACACAGATTTTAGAAATAAGAAAAATAAAAATAAAGTGAAATAGAAAGTTAAATTTAAAAATTTAAAACAATAAATCATTTTAAAAATTAAAAATTTATTAATTTT